TCTGTTGTACAAATAACATCTCAATTCTCAGAGATAACTGCGAGCGGTCAGACCCCTTTCTCCAAGACAGCAGTCCTTTACACACAAAAACTACCAATAAATTTAAAGAGAAAGTAAGGAATTCAAATTTCCTTATTATATTCAATAATTCATCTACTCAAGCTGAACAGTTTCATTTAAGCTCATCTGAGTTTCAGAAGTAGGCAAGCTATTTAGCTCGTATAAATTTTGTTCAAAATGACCAAATGAAGAAATCTGAAAAAGGGAAAGACCTAATGCTGTTAACCTGTCATTTCATTTTTGCATTCCAAAGCACAAAAATCAGTAAGAAAAAGTCACGGTCTCCTCCTCTTTTAATCCAGTACAGTACATAGTGTAGAAAGAAAGGTCTGCAGTATTTCTGCTAGACGAAATAGAAAATGTAAACAACGAATGTAAAAATTTAATTTAATTTCACTATTACAATTCTCCTGCATTCAATAAAATATTTATGTCAGGTCTGCTACATTTAGCCTGACACTATTACTTTGAATATGAATATTACTATGAAGCACCTTGAAGATGCCAGGACTTTGATGGTTAAGACCTTGTACACCAGATACCCCAGTTCAGGTCCTTGCTTCAAATACAACAACAAAAGAACCTGAACCCACACCTTCCACGCTCCAGGCTAACTGTTGGGCTAATTAGACCTAACTAATAACAGTTATGCGCTTGCCTGGAGCGTGGAAGGTGTGGGCTCAGGTTCTTTTGTTGTTGTATTAATTAATTAGATCTGCCTCTTCTTTCAAGATTTCATTAACAAACAAAATTCTAAGTGTCCAAGATTTCCATTAGTTTCCTATTTTCTCACACGTGCATGTGAGACGGCCACCAGCCTGTCCCTGCTCTACAGTTCCATCTACTGTAATTTCAGTGCACCTGAGTACCAACCACCCGAAACACCAGGGACACCAGATATTTTCACAGACCTAAAATTTCGAAGTCTATAAGCAATAATGAAAGCCACATGGGTGAATGCCTCAGAAACAACAATTATTATGCCAGTGTTTTCTGAACTGTTAGTTATTTTGGATACAGTGCCTCATGAAGATTTTCATTCTTATTCACTGAGATCCTTAAAAACAGATAAGATGGGATAGGCTTTGCGTCATTTTATGGTCAAAGAGAAGTATACTTATCCATGTTACCAGCTCTTTGGCAGACACTTTTTCAGAGCTCTTATGGAGACACTCACACGCCCTTGTTAATAAGGATTCTGCAGTATGATAAACTTCTGCCTCAGAATCACTTACGTATTTTCCTGGGTTTAGTCAGATACTGCAAAATTTAACATTACCCTTTACCCTGGCATCTGAAGTAAAGCGAGCAACCTCCTCAGCTCCACTAAGGTTTTAAAACAAAACAAATAGCAAGCTTAATTTCCACAGCATTTTTCTACTTCAAAACAATAGAAGAAAGTTTTATGTAAAGAGGGCATATGTAGCAATCACAGAATCACAGAATTTTCAGAGTTGGAAGGGACCTCTAGAGATCATCTAGTCCAACTCCCCTGCTAAAGCAGGATTGCCCAGAGCACATTACTCAGGACTGCATCCAGGCAAGTTTTGAAAATCTCCAGAGAAGGGGCCCCCACAACCTCCCTGGGCAGCCTGTGCCAGTGCTCTGTCACCCTAACTGTAAAGAAGTTTTTTCGTGTGTTGGAACGGAACTTCCTATGTTCCAACTTGTGCCCATTGCCCCTCGTCCTGTCACTGGGAACCACCGAGAAGAGTCTGGCTCCATCCTCCTTCAACCCACCCTTTAGATATTTGTAAGTAATAATAAGGTCTCCCCTCAGCCTTCTTTTCTCCAGGCTAAAAAGTCCCAGCTCTCTCAGCCTTTCCTCATAAGGGAGATGCTCCAATCCCTCAGTCATCTTGGTTGCCCTTCGCTGGACTCACTCCAGCAGTTCCCTGTCGCAGCCCAGGATTCCATTGGCCTTTTTGGCGACAAGGGCACATTGCTGGCTCATGGACAATTTACTATCTACCAGGACCCCCAAATCCTTCTCCTCAGAACTACTTCCCAGCAGGTCCACCCCTAACCTATACTGGTGCTTAGCATTGTTTCTCCCCTGGTGCAGGACCCTGCACTTGCTTATGTTGAACCTCATTAGGTTCCTCTCTGCCCAGCTCTCCAGCCTGACCAGGTCACGCTGGATGGCAGTGCAGCCCTCTGGAGAGTCAGCCACCCCTCCCAGTTTGGTATCATCAGCAAACTTGCTGAGGATACACTCTGTCCCCTCATCCAGGTCATTAATGAATACATTAAACAAAATTGGACCAAGTATCAACCACTGGTTACAGGCCTCCAACTAGACTTCGTGCCACTGATCACAACCCTCTGAGTCTTGTCACACAGCCAGCAATAAGAAACTGAAGATCATATGAAAGTCCTTATTTCTCCTACGCTTTTGTAAACATCATCTGATTAGTTCAAGATGACCTTTTGTAACTGGATATGACAAATAATCTGTGAAGGCTATCAGCAAGCTGCAAAGGTGGATGGATGTTCTGATCAGAGGAGAGGACAGTCGACCCAACAAGTCCTGCCAGGAGAAGAACAGAGGAGGAATTCACCTCTGGGGAACACGCAACTCCATCAGCGCAGTCCTAGAGAGAAGACTGGAAGGGGCTTATAATGAGGAAGGAGAACGTCGAATGCCTGGACTCTCATTTCTCAGAGAATATGACTTACGAGATCAAACTGTGCTGAAGAGGAAGAGAGAGCGGGCATCCCCCTCATTACAACAACAAATATTTAGTAAGACCTCCAAGCAAAGGTTTTAGCATTCTTCCTGTCTGCTGTGGACAAATGGCCCAATAAATCACCTCAGATTAAAAGGGAAACTTGAATTGGTCCTCAAAACTGTAGCAACAGCGACCAAGATGCTTATCATACTATCAAATTTAGACTCTAGGTTTATTTTCTGCTTCATTTTCTAATTCTGCTAATGAAGCAGCTCAACCTGCATGTCTGAAAACATGCAACAACATCATATGATCGTTTATCTGTTCACAACAAAACACAGGAGCAACAAACAATTTTAGAAGGCACCTTTGCAAATGAACATATTTCCTATCATCTTAAGCATCTTGTGCTCACAACTGGTGTCACAACTAGTCTTAAGGAGGCATTAAAGATGTTTATTCATTCTCATTTCCGACTTGTTGGGGAAAAAGTGTCCATCACTCCAAGGGGGTATGATCTTGTAGTTACAGAAAAGGGGAGCTTGACTGCTTCTTCAGGTAGATTATCTGCATGAAGTCACACAAAAAGGCACCTAAATCCTGTACTTCGGAGGCCTGAGTTATAAAATGGAAATGCTAACATATGGTTTAAGCAGGAGGCTGGACTAGGTGACTTCCTGAAGTCCCTGCTGACCAGAATTTTCTGATGATTCTGTTTGCTTTGGGACACATAAGCATGAATGAGAAGGGCAGTCAGCCACTGCAGCGCTGATTACTGGTGAAAATCTCAAATAAGCATCCTAACATTTTCAAGCTTGTAATATATAGCTTTTTACTAGATGGGGGAGGGGGGGCAGGGGGCGCAGAAAATCCTGTCAAAATGCTCATGAATTTTGCAGTTTTCATAATTGTCATCTATGATAGCCAGAGAAAAACAACAGTCATCCTGTTCCCGATGATGTAGCCAAACTGCTGGTTTGCATTGGGTCTTAAAAAGCAAACAAACCAAAAACCAACAAAACATCCAGTTTGACTACATATTTTTTAAGTGGCACTATAAATTCAGTGAAATGCTTTCCGAGTTTATCAGGCAGGTTAAGAAAAAATCTGATGCCAACATGAAATCACAAACAACAAAACCAAAAAGCACTTGTCATCTTGCAATGCAGAATACCAAACTTGTTGTCAGTTTTCACCACTGATACAAGTGAGTCTGTTTACTATAAAAGAAACATACCCAGTAATGCTAATGTTCAGCATTTCCTAGAGGAGTCATTCCTGTTCACTCTCAAAGCAGTGAAGTCCTTCACCAAAGTTCAAGGTTCTAGACTCTGTATTTTTGAGCCCCTTCTCTTTAAATCACTACTAGCCAGTATGAAATTCTCAGTTCCTCCTTCACTTATTACTATTGCAATAAATATCAGGAAGAAAAAAAAAAAAAGACAAATAAACCTTGAATTTCGTGCTGTGATATCTGTCAAATCTCAGATTAAAGAGTAAGTATTTTTTCTCAAAATAATTCCCTACAAATAGTTTATAATTAAAAGTGGAACTGCCCAGATGTGAATGCTGAAGACACAAACGTTTATGTTCATTCACAACACGTCCTCAAGGAATAACAAATTGAAAAGTAATACCAAAATATTCAAATCCCCATTTTGTACAGATTTGATTTCCTTGCATTGGCCTTTCCTCACTACTTGTTTCTATTAATTAATTTAATAGACCATATTATGACCCAGCTGTACATCTATACAGGGATATAACAAACCATAAAGATGCTACATCCTCACTATACAGCGTAAGTGACTGCACACTCCCATGAGTATAAAGTGGCTGCACATATGACAGTACAAAAAAAAAAATAAAAAAAATTCCTAGAAGGTAAGATGATTCTGTGCCTAATTTAGAAGACTTTTTCTGGATCAACAGATCAAAGCTGGATCAACAATCTCTTCCTGTTAAGACACATCCTCTTCTGGGAGTACCTCAGTTGCAGCACATTAGAAAAGCAAAAACATTGCAAAAGCGATACAAAGTCCTACACTGCAGATGGTCTCAGCTTCTGCTACTACAGTTTTCAATTTTCTAGCAGATCACTCAAGTAGTGGAGTTGCGATGGACTCTGGACTGCTCGGACACAAATACTAGTCTTACAAGTTCATCGCACTGCTTACCAAATTTGCGTCTAATAACCCATTAAAAGAGGTGTGTGTGTGTGGGGGGGAGCTTAAAACAAAAGACAACAAAACCCCCAACTTCCCTTACCTTGCTGGAGGCACATCAATATTTGAAGAAACAACCTTGCGCTTCTGTTCCAGAAGACAAACAGAACGAGTGTTTTCCTTTTCATACTCATGAGCTCTGTTTGTTTTTTTGGTCTCTGCTGTTTTTAAATCTTCCTCCTTTGTGGTGAACAGGAGAAACTGTTGCTCTGGCAGTTTTTGACTGATGTCACTTTTTACATCCTCCTGTTGAAATGCAGGGAAGGTCGTTTCACGCTTGATGCTGGCTGCCTGTAAAATTAAAAGCAATTATTAAATTTTAGTCTAATTCTCCTAAAATGTAGGGGGGTATAACCCCAACACCCACATACGTTTACTTCTAAGTAGTTCTTTGAATCAGAGAATACCATTTCTTTGCCCTTCATAAATTCTAAAACTGCCACTGATTTCTCAACGGTGTTGAGGACTATCCAGGAAAATAAGCAGTGCTTGTCCATTTGATAAAGCAGTAACTTACCTCTTAACGCTAAGTCAAAAAGATATTTTAATTGGAATATCGGAAACCACAGTATATACAGCATATTTAATGTACACACATCTGTGCTGCATAACTACGCAGAAGAAATCCTAGCTGCCCTCCTCCTAAAATTCCAGGAAAAAAGGCAGAATTTATCCAGATAAAAGGCAATCAGGAAATTAAAGCACTTCTGACAGCCGCTTACTGGGTTCTTTAACAGTTGTATTTGTAAAGAGGGTTTCTCAATGAGCATAAAAATAATTCGCTACAATCCAACTCAGCTGCCAGAAGGCAAAGGGGAGCGCGCGATGGTGGCAGGATCTCCGCAAGGAACCCAGCCAGCAGTGAGGAGCACGGACACACGCAGAAGCACTGTCAGGTTGTCTCTTTGGCTGCCAGCGCTTCCCAGATCTTCAGGCCCGCTGCTTCCCATAAATGAAGTCTTCCCAAACAAACAGGTATCTTAACAAATACACTACCTCTCTGGCATGCAACATGTCACTGTTTATAAAGAGAACTATTGTAGGGTTGCAGTAAAGAGCACAGAAAGCCGGCAGAACCAAGCCAACCCGCCTTCCCAGCAAACAAAACCAACTCCAGAATCTCGTTTGTCCTCTGCAGTACCATTCCCTGGCCAGCTAGGCTTCCTCACCTTCACGACGGCAGACCTATCTCCCAGGCTGTTGCGAGCCACTCATCCTGCCGCACATCGGCCGAGCTCCTCCAGCCCCTCCGCCTGCTAGCTTCCTTGTGCCCCTGCCAACACAGAGCCTACCAGAAGCATCTGCTAACAAGAGTGATTTCTGGATATCTGTGCTTTCAGTATCAGGAGCTTCAACTGCTAACTTGCCCTAAGTCCAGGCGATGCACCAGGGTGGCAACCCCTGCACCCAACCCAAAGAGCCAAGCAAAATATGACCCAACAATACAGACACTTGTCCATCCTTGATCAGAGGGACTTCCATGCCACACACAGCACCTCGGAGAAATCCAGATGCCTTCTAGGACTTGCAAACGGGTTCTTTTAGATACTTGTACATTACTGCTGATCTTTAATGGTGGAGAAATCCTGGATGTGTCACCCTCAGATAGTAACAGCACCAATAAGCTGAAATTCCTATGTAAACTCTTCCCCCATACTCTTCCTCCTTTTCGTTAATCAATGTATTTGTGTATATATTCGTACATAAAAATATATTCCTCTCCCCACGTATCTCCCTGTTTATAGCTTTCAAACCTTGGTAGGTATAAAAATGGTGCAACCAATTTTAAGTTCACAGGAAAAACAATCTTGCCAAGCTAATTTTGTTTTGTTCAGTAAAGTACATAACATCACTAACGCATAAATACTTCGGATCCATGATTTAATTGTATCATTCTAGTGTTTCCATGGAAGGGCTTCTAGCAGTTGCTTCAAGAACAAAACCAGAATTGTTACTTTATGAATGTAAATAGTAGAAAGAATTAGTCATTTTACACTTCTTCACACACAAACAGATGACACATTACCAAGAAAATCTGCCTGGAAGACAAAATAGTCAGCATGTGATCACATGGAATTAGGAGAAGACATATAAACAACAGAAATTTAATGATTATTTTTTAAAAAGCTTTTAGGTTTACAGTAAGCCCTTTTTTGAGTGTCTGAGGATCTTAACAGATGCTGAGTTGCCTTCAATTTTCATCAAAACTGACTTAGAAGTTATGCACTAAAGCAAAAACAACAAAAATCCTGAAAATAGCCAAGTTTCAAGATCCAGCCCCTAGAAATTATATAATGCCAAATGAAGGCGCATATAAGACTTGAATTCCATTCCCTCCACTGCCATATGGTCTTCCATTGCGTGACCCTGCATCTTTTCCTCCCTCCCCAGGACTTCCACCTTATCCAGTGCAGCAGACAGTGCTGCGCAGGGCACGAGCTTCTCCACCTGCTGAGTGTTGCAGGGTGCTGGTGGGTGCTGGTGTGCACAGGTACAAGGCAGGACCCAGTACTTCCCTCCTTGCTCCCTGCAGAACCCCTAGCAGAGATATTGTACCAAGAGCACGGGAGAGGGGCAGCCTCCCTCCTTCCCCACTCCACAATGCCAGACTGAACGTGGTATTCATCAGGATGATTTTTATTTTTTTAACCAAATAAATCCATGATTTTACCAATGGAAATTTTTTTTCCCCTCAATTTAGGGAACTGTAATATTTTACTCAGTTTCAGCAAACACACTGAGCCATACATTGTTCAGTTTTCTTTATAGACTTAAACAGTGACAACAAAAGGTTGCAGGCTCAGACTACAGCTGTACAAATAGCAGGGCCTGATGCAATAGGACAAGGGGTAATGGCTTTAAACTAAAAGAGGAAAGACTCAGACTAGATACAAGGAAGAAATTTCTTACACTAAGGGTAGTGAAACACTGGCACAGGTTTCCCATAGAGGTGGTAGATGCCCCATCCCTGGAAACATTCAAGGTCAGGTCGCTTGGGGCTCTGTGCAACCTCATCTAGATGAAGATGGCCCTGCTCATTGCAGGGAGGTTGGACTGGATGACCTTTAAAAGTCTCTTCCAACCCAAACCATTCTATGATTCTAGGAAATAAAGCCTAAAATGTAATAATCAGAATACTTGTATTGTGATACCAGATAATCTATTCATATATACATAAATTATTCTCATCCAGTTCAAATATATTAGATTAACAGCTTGGTTTTCGTATGTCAATGTGCCATAATTAACAGCCGTCCCTATGCAAGCATACAGAAGTCAGGAATGAAAAAACCACAGAAGCAGCAAGTGCTCAGGTTGCAGAGCTGCCCCCTGGCAGCTCAGGTCCTTTGGCTAAATGGCCAGAAACAGCAGAAGACCAAATCCAATGCTTATACTAACTCTCTTCCTCTCCTTCAGTTTTCAACAGATGTTTGGAAACATTAGCCTCTTTCTAAACTTTCCCTTAAGAGCAAGTGCAGATAAAGAATCTCTTCTGCTTTAAAAGCAGGCGATCACGAGAGAAAGCCAAGAGTTTCCCTCGGTGGCCACCCTCTGGTAGCTTTCTCCTGCTGGACAGACGTTTTTTTTCTTTTAATTCATCCATGTTTATGGGAGCCATTTCCACTTGAGACATCTGCCCTATCTGGAAGGGTACGGGGTCTCTTGCTGGAAATCCAACCACCTACACAAGCAGCTGTTGATAAGGGGAGCACCAAAGACCACAGTCACTTGACTGATCAGGTTCTTCGCTCTGTGGCAAACACATTGATTAACCACCAGGACCCCTCTGCTTTCAAGCTCTGCTTCACCATCACTCACAGTTTGGAGATAACACGGACAATTTCCAATATATCTTTCCAGCTAAGTTTACTGTTCTGTCACATCTTACTAGGAACTTTTTTTTTTGTCAAAGATCTTTCGTATTCTTTTAACCTCTTTGAGGCTTGTGGCAGTCCTCTAAGTCCATAACATATTTCAGCAAAAACTTCACAGAAGGTCTAGTTCAAGCAGATGCAGCCTGTCTCGCAGACAGCCAGATGTTAACACCGTAATATCAATTTGTTTCAGCTTATTTCCAATGTTTCACTTTTCTTTCTCCTTAGTTTTTCCTCAAGCTCCTTGATCATGTTGTTCCCTGATGGTTTGGCTTTTATTGTCATCATACCTCCACGTTTGCCACCTTATTGCCTCCAGTATCAACTGCTGATAAAACCTAACACAGTTTTTTCCATACACTTAATTAACCACCCCTTGTACAAGCCACTTTGTAGTAGGCTAACCGTTCTTCTATGCAATTCATTGTGTATCCTCACCCTGAAGCCATTAGCAACCTTCAGCCTACTTTCAACCGAGTCCTTTGCAATCTGGCTTCAGGCAAACAACATCGCTTGGAAGTTCAGTCACAGAAATAGGAGTTATAAACCATCTGCAAATTTTAAAAACTAGCTTTGTTTCTGTCTGCAGTTACCCTCACCTGCCTCTGACAACTTCCCTCCCATCACCACTGGGCAAGGGAGACTTTTTATACGCTGCCACTTGGAAACGACAGCTCAGTATTACCTGCAGCTTCCTCCCTGGAGCTCAGCTCTGGCACTGCCCCACGCTGGGGGTCTGATCTGGCTTTACTCCTTCCATCCCTTCTCAGCAAGCACCAGCCTTCCCACTCACTCTCCTCGGAATTTTCAACACCTAATAGCATGACCATTTCCACGGACTTCTCCGAAGGCATGAGCAGGGTCACAGAGTGGTCCTCCCTTGCTCATTTTGAAATATTCTCGCTGGCCGAGCGCAGCAGCACGGCGCTGCAGCAGCCCTGCTCCGGGCAGACCGAGACAGGTACCACTTCAACCAGGGAGTTTGGTAATCCTCCTGCCAAAACTGAAAGTAATTTCTTGCTTTGGTTTTTAAGCTGAAACTTTATTTAACAAAAAAGGAATGCGTTTTAGTTTCTGTTTTGAAGTTGTCAAGACAATGGTATATATTTAGATTGAGGGGTTTACCTTAAAGTCCTTGCTTGATTCTTTATTATTAAATGACAGAGTTTAATACTCCACGTGACAGCTAAATGATTACCACAGTTCATATTTTCAGCAGTATATAAATAATTTTTCATTGCAAAAGCCATCTTAACCTGTCTATAGAAACTTGTATTTCTTGGTGTCTTGTCATAACCAGCCCTGAACTCCACATGCCCCAATCAAGACCACGCGTTGCAATGGAAGTCCTACCCAAATTAAAGCATGCTTCACAGAGATGCAAATTTTGAGGAATTTAGAGAAATTTTTCTTTGT